CTAATTTTTGCCTAGGTCACCCTTTTGTGGGATTCCTAGCGGGTTCTTTATATATATATATATGGGTTATAATTATAGCGGTGTAACTTTTATTAAGTATTACAATTAAATGTAAATAAACAATCTAATTAAACATTTCATAGTTTCATAAGAAAATAACACTAATGTCGACTTTATCAAACTTAGCTACATAACGTATCATGGCAGAGCCATACAAAAAAGGTACACCTTTTACATTATCACTGACAACTGTGAAACCTAAAATCATTGAGTTCAAAGGTTTAAGTTGCAAAATATGTGATGTAAAGCAGTTGTTAGAAGAAGTTAGGGATCATTCTATTTCTTTAGTTCAATGTCTAAGGGACAAAATACATGAATAAATATATTTAAGGCCAAAGTTCTCATGATTGTGCAACTTTCAAGATAAAAAGTACAGTTAAATCCTATTCGTATTGGGATTAACAATTTCCCTACCAATAAGATTAGATATGTATGAAGTGTTTAAATGACAAAGAAAGAAAATAAAAAAGTTTATAATTTATTATTTATTTGAAGAAAAATTAATCTTTAAAAATAAAATTCCAAATTTTTATTTCTTGTTCAAATTTAAAATTAATTTCTTCCTTTTTTCCCCTTTCATCTAAATCAAATAGATAGGTATCTAGATTCCAGACTAGTATATATCCTTAGTTCGTATATATTTTTTTATTAAGTTTTTGTGCCCCCTTACCATGTTTGACGTTTGGGTTTGCCAGAAACATGCATCTCTAATTCTGTCTATGGTGAAGAATCTAAAATAGAGTATTTGATAATTGAGAGAGCAAAAACCATTGTTAGTGGCAACCCACTTTGGATTGCACTTGATTATAAAACCCACGAATAAGAAAAAGCCAGCAAGCGTTAGCGTGACGTTTCATTTCTGTGATTGATTGTAATCAAATGAAGCCAAAGCACCCCAGAATATAAATGAAAAGGAAAATCACTAATAATAGGTAAGCCAACCATTCTAAAATGCAACCACCAACATTATTGTAACTTTATAGTAAGAGTTTTTTCAAAGACCTAATTGTTTATTCAATAACTTAAACTTATCCTGCCTCATCAAATTTATTTCTTATTGCAAATTTTAAAGCACATAATCCGTTCCATATCACCCATTTTATCCGCTGCGCTGGTTACTTATTTGTCTTTTTGGTTCAATATTCTTTATTCAATTAATTAGACTTGACCACTTAGTGACGCAATCAGTTGGGCCCTTGCAAATGTAATCCCAAACAAAACATAAATAAATTAGAACATTGTAATTATTAATTTATTAAATATCTTTTACTTTATTTTTCTTAAAAATAGTATTTATACGTGATTTAAAAAGAAATTTGTTTTGCACCGCCCATATAAGAATGAAAAAGTACAATTAGTCTAGGTGATAGGAAGATCTTTTTTGGTTCCTTTAGAATTTGGCGAGAGGCGAGTGATCACTTGCAATGAGTGTAACACTCAAATTAAGAGTGTGCTTAAAGAGGTGGAAATTTTGGATAATGATATTGGTACGTATCTCTAGTGATATTACTCACCTCTATACATAGATCATGTTCATTATCTTGCATTGTGACATCATCCTTGCCCCCCATAAAAAATGGTACGCAATTCTTATTACCATTGTTGATGACTCCTTCATATATCATTCCTGACTTTTTTTTATTTTTTTTATTTTATATATTTGAGTCCAACTCAATATGCTTTTGGGAAGAGTTTGAATTATATTTTGAGTTGTTATATATAATTAACACTATATTATTTATTGATCTAATAAATAATATAGTTTTTAAATAACTATATTATTTATTGATCTAATAAATAATGTTCTAACTATAAGTAATTAACACTGGTTTGATTTTAGTGTTTCATTTTTTTTTACTGAAAATTAGAGCTTTGTCTTAGTCTTGGATGTGAAGTTACAATTAAAAGTACTGCTTTATACTCTTAAATAGATTGTGACTATGAAAGGAATGGAAGATATACTTTTTAGTTATACATAATTTTCTTTTGACTAATATATGTTGTGAAATGCATCTTAACTATAAATATATGTATCTTTAATTCTATAATATTAAAATTAATATATTGTGTCAATAATGGGTTATGACCAGTTTGTTTAAAGTAAAAAAAAGTGATTATTAAAAAGCTTCTGAAAAAATTGCTTTTTTAAGAAGCAGATAAAGACCATTTTTGTTTTAAAAAAAATCTTGAAAAGTGTTTTTTTTAATAAAAATAAGCAATTAATTCTATCTGCTTTTATTTTTTTATTTTATTTTATGAAATGTTCTTTTTATAATCGTTTTGTTTAGGTTTAAGAAAACTGGACCTTTAATTTACTTTTTTATAAAAGCAGAAAATTACTCATTTTTAAACTAAGCAGTTAAGATAAACACAAGAGAGTAGAAAACTGTTTATTTTATTAATTTTTAAGAAAAAAAGTTGAAACAAACATGCCCTTAATATCCTAATATATAACAAATCTAGATTGAAATCCACATTTAGTAGTTGATAGTGTCTCGAACAAAATTACCACCGAAAGAATATATATGTAAAAACATTTTTCCATATATTAAAATAAATAATATATTTAGTGATATATATAGTATGATTTGTACAGTAAAATATAATATTTATTATAATGATTTATATACATGTATAATAAGTAATTTATTTAGAGTTTCTTAGGATAAACTCATTTAAGCATATCTACACTTTTAGTTAATATATATTCTGGAAGAACAGCAATAATAGGGGAAAAGATGCATATATACCTGGATGAATTGGACTCGATCGAGTTTATATGGAGTAAGGATGCGAGTTAGTGAGTTCGTTTATACTTTATTGTGATGATCTTAATGGGTTTTGCATTTGCCTGGATCGAATCTTTTAATAACATTCCATTGGAATATTTTAAAGGTTGGAATTGAATGAGAGTTATGCTCTTCCTCTCTATTACACCTGTGGAATGAGGTCCACTCGTTATGCCTATGCCATGACACACATCTATCTCAACCCAACAATGGTCAACATTTCTTCAAACGTTGAGTTTATTCATGACAGCAAATTGATATACTCATTTCATTACAATATTCTCAATTACTTACTTTCATCTTTTGTTTGATTTGGACGTTCATCAGTTTGTGATCTAATAATGAATCCTTACTTAATTAATTGCATATTAAATAACATATCACTTAAAACAAACTAAGAAATGTTGATTTTAACAATACCAACTAAAGTTGCTAAGATAATTCTTAAATATAAAAACCGATTCTTAGTTGGAAATATCGGAGTGACTTGATTTGGTGATCACAATGTATGAACGATTTTTTACAAAAAGTTATTCTTATTAAAAAAATATCGTGATTTTAGCATAAAATACATAGATGATGTTGAATAATACGCGAGAATCGTTTTAAGTTGTCAAGTAATTTTACAATGGGAGCAAAAAGTTATTGGAGTCTAAAAACTTATGTAACACAACATGATCCATAAAAGTTAAGAGTTGATTAAAAATTAAAGAAAGGGTGCATCCTTAGATATATTGGAGGTGTTTTTGGATAAATTTATGGAAACAAGTGATAATAGAGAAACATGGTGGTGACTGTTGTCGTAATCATAAAATGATGTCAGTGAGAGAGCCCTACCAATCTGCAGGATCTACCTGGTGCGCATATTAGTGTGGTAGTGGAAATGTGACCACCATGACTACGATCATGCTTCGCTTATTCATTCATGTGTGAAACCCTTGATTCTCTGTACCACAACACAAGCAATCACACATGTACAACGTCAACAAACAAAAACAGACACGCATAAAAACACAAACCCCTCTATTTTTCAATACACCACGTCTCCATATACCATGTTTTTCCTTATTAAAATAACATAAAGTTCAATTAAAAATTAGTGGCCTTTATTCATCTAAAAGAAAAGTGGCCCCTATTTTCTAATTCGCATTAATTATAATTTTGATGCTTTTGTCTTACCATGAATAGGATGGGAGATTAGGGTAGGGTTGGCAATTGGAAGAGAATGGATTGGATAATGGTTTGCGTTGGGAATTTGGTTCTGTTTTTTTGGTGGTGAGTCACTAAGGCAAGGTGGAACTGTTTTTGCGGGAAAAAAGGGTTCTCATTTCTCAAAGTAGCTTTCAAAGGTTCGCATCATTAAAATAAAAATAAAATTCCCTTTTCTTTTCTTCTAATTTTAAAGATTTAACCGCCGGGGAAAACGAGGAAGGACCAGATACGAGAGCGAGATACTAAATACATGACAGCTCTATTAGTACTATATGTTTATTGTTTTATTTGAACTAGTTGCTTGTGTTGTGCGCTTTCTATGATCACCTTCACGGGTACTTTCTTCTCCTCGTTCTATAATCATTTTTTTGTTTTTGTCTTTGAAAAAAAGCGCATACCGGTTTTGCCTTTGCTTTCACGTACGTACCAAAAATCATGATTTTGGTTGTTGCCTTTTTTGGATGAGGCCTAGCTAGTATCCTAGAATCTCTTGCTATCTTTGAAGGGATCAGTTAAAAGAATTGATGCGTACTTTCTGCTGCCTTTTGTACTTCTGATCGTAGTCTGTATTTTCTTCAAACCCAAAGTTTGTATTTGTATACCATACGTTTATACTTGGCTTAATTGCCAATAAAATTAAGAAATTGGTCTCATAATATTGTACCCCTACTGCTTTATTCTCAGCTACCCTTTATATCTTTTGTAACCTAAGCAAGAAAACTAAATTAGTGTATTAATTCAACTATATCACGCCTTTAGCCTTTTCTTTAATTCAACCCTTAATTACCAAAACACAATTGTATACATTTATGGATATTATTCACTGGGGATTGAATTGTTTAAATTAGTGTTTCTTGAAATGCATCCATCACCCTCTTCTTTCAATTCATCGAGGTTGGTTACATCACAAGGTAGCCTTGGAAATTTCTTTATTCTTTTGGTCTTACCAATCAAATTGACCCTTTTTGTTTTGCCCCGGTATGATTCCTTATGATCAACGTCACTTGTTAATGGTGCATGCAATATGATTAAGTAGTGTATGACACAGTACTACCATATATAAGGTTTCTTTTATTGTATTCTTTCTTAAAATATGGCAACAGCGGAAGGTTTCTTCACCTAAGTTAATTTTCTTGGGGTGCACTCGAGTCAATCTTTAAATATCTACCATTTTAATTCTTGTTTGTTTTCTTTTTGCTTTCTGATTATTTTATTACTACTGTTTAAGTGAATGCGCTTCCTTAATGCATTTTATGATTGAGTCAACTTTAAAGCGTTTTATTAAATTCGTAACAGCAGCTTCCCATATATGCATTGAATCGCTGCACTGATACGTCCATAGAGCATGGATTCTCCATCCTCACAGTTTATTTCCTCAAGAAGGATGGGTGTGTATGATCCTATCCACCAAATTAGCATGTGGGAAGAAAACTTCAAAAGTAATGATAATAATTTAAGTGTATCTACATCCATAATTGAGGAGGGGGATATGAAGTTAGCTAATCAGATTCAGGTGCAAGTAAGTTTACCAAATTTATACTGCCTTTTGCAAATGATCATGCCTATTTTTCCTACTAATAAAGTTCTTTTTTGCTGTTTAATTCCTAGTCAGAGGATGCTTCTCATGGAATATTTGGAACATCTGTGAATTACGACCAAGGTGCTAACAAACTTACTGATAAGGTAAACCATGTTATGTAAAACACCCTTTTTTCCAAAAACAGCATAAAAGGGTTAACTTTTGAAACATTTTACTAATTTTGACTAGTTTCTACACTAGTACCCTTAAGTGTGATATTTTAGCATGGGAAGGCGCACCATTTACAGTCTGTTTTAATAGAAGCTTAAAAATGTGATTGAGAATTTCTCTATTTAAAAATATTCTTTATTTTCAGTAGAAAAACTCTCAAAAATGATTTTGACTTGTATCTAAACAGGATCTAACTCTTTTCTTCTGCCTCCATCTTTAGCTTTATGTAGAACTTTTTAGTGAAATCAGAAAGTATTTTAGACCTATATTTTGGACTCTTTAAGATATATTTATCTAAGGTCCTCTGCTTCCCGATTTTGGATGTTTGGCATGTTTCCATACTTTTTCTTTTATGCTTATGCGGAGAAAAAAGAAAGAGGAATTTAACGTGTTGAAACATGCAGACACAAAGACGTCTTGCACAAAATCGTGAGGCTGCTCGCAAGAGTCGTTTGAAGAAAAAGGTTTGAAGGTTTATACATTGAAAGATATACTACTCATGCAACAAGTGTTTACAATTTTACATACACTAATATTCATGTGATTTCTGATGTTTCTTCCCAGGCATACGTGCAGCAATTAGAAGCATGTCGTTTGAAGCTGATGCAGTTAGAGCTAGAGGTAGACCATGCAAAACAACAGGTGTAAAATTGTAATATTTTTAATATCTACTTTCTGCTATGTATATCACACACTTTATATTTTTAATATTTACTTGTCTCTTTTCTCTTTTTCCCGTTCTATTGTGAATCTCTTGAGGCAACATAACTGCAGGGATTGTATGTTGGTGACGGATTGGGTTCTAATAATTTTGGTTTTGCTGGCTCTGTAAATCCAGGTTTGTGTTCATTAAGCTGCTAGTGCTAAGATATTGATTTGTAACTTCTCGATTTTTCTGTTAAATGTGGTTATCGATTTTGTGGAGAAGACAGTTTTTTACTATGCCTAAATCATATACCTTTTAGAAACTGCCCTCACAATATATAGAGATGTTTAATTCAAGTCCTGTAGAAATCATTAGTGTCTAGCGGCACCATTATATTTATTTAACTATTTGAGTTGATATTTGCTGCCAAACAGGAATATCTAGTCTCAGATGTCAGATGAATACCCTTAAAATTTGTGTTGCATAATTTCTCCCGATAATCTTCGATAGTCTATACATTGAAACTATAAAAGTACTACTATAAACGCATCTTGAAAATGAGTTTTATATCAGTTCTATGTACAACTTCTGCGAATGTAACTGCAACTTTTAAATTGTCTAGTAAACTTTTGAGTCAGATACTTCATTTTGGTTGATATAGTATTAGTTCCCGGGTTTCCTCAAGTATTTTTATCTTGTTGTATTGGACACCCTTTTCCAACTATTTTTGCACTCTAAAAGTACCTAATAAACAGGAATAACAATTTTCAAGATGGAGCACGAGCACTGGGTGGAGGAGCAAAATAGACAAATTTTGGAACTGAGAACTGCTTTAAGTTCTCATATGGATGACATTCAGTTCGGGACACTAGTACAGGGCATAATGAACCACTACTCCAAACTCTTTAGCTTGAAATCTGCTGCTGCAAAATCAGATGTTTTCTATGTTATGTCTGGTATGTGGAAGACAACAGCTGAACGATTTTTCTTGTGGATTGGAGGATTTCGCCCCTCTGAACTTCTAAAGGTGATACTTAATATCGAACAAATGAAATGAAAATTTTATATTTAGATTTTGTCTTCACTTCATTACCTTTATTTTCTTATTTATGCTATAGTATCATGTAAGCTTGTAGTAACAATTTTAATTGAATTGCAGGTTCTGGTCCCTCTGATTGAACCTTTGACAGAGCAACAAAGGTTTGATGCATATGGCCTTGAAAAATCATGCCAGCAAGCAGAAGATGCCCTTTCACAAGGTATGGAAAAACTTCAGCAAATGCTTGCTGACAGTGTAGGGCCAGGACAACTAGTTGAAGGAACTTACATTCCACAAATGGATACTGCAATGGAGAGACTGGAAGCTCTGGTGAGCTTTGTGAACCAGGTAACGTTTACATGCTTCACTTTATTCATAACCATTCACTTATCATTATCAACTTAACAACTTTTCTTTTCATTGCATGTGATCTGAACCAAATGATGCTTTGGTGTTTGCATTTTTTATTTATTATGTGTGCTTTATTAAGAGAACTGTATGCAACTATGCATTCTGAGTAATTTGTCAATATTCCACGTGCTAAAAAAATTGTTCTTTCTGATTCCTGAACATTTATTTGTTTCTCTACCTGGCTCTGGTAAAAAAGCAATGATTAATAGATTGTGATGAGAAATATGTTGAAAGTTTATGAACTCGGCATATATAATCTTGAAGGTCTACATAAGCCTTTTGGATAGGGTAAGTTGGTCATTTTATCATTTTTAATTTTTTACACGTGTTTGAACGGATGGGTGTGTCCACCATGAACAGGTTTGGAAAACAGAAAATAAATAGTGTAATGTGTTGCGTTATAAACTTCGTGATTCAGGCCATATATAATTGATTAAATCATGCAGTTTTCTGCGCTGTTGACGTGAGGCATCTTAGTTGAAAAGAGAGAAGGCTTTGCTTTGCCCAATTGATGTTTTGCCATTATGTTATTAGTGGCATTAAGTTCATCTTATTAATTTTCCCTCCACCATGCATCTTCGATAAATATTCTTATATTTTCCAAAAATCACACAAGCCCTTTTTCCCCTATCTAAATATGGAAAAAATTAAGTGTTTGAGAAAGAATATTGGTAGGTTTGTGGATATAAAATGTGTTTCATTTGTGATTTGTTCTTTTCAAAGCACATTGAACCTCAATCTCATTCTTAATAATCATTTGTATTCAATGTGTTAATGTTTCCTCATAAGTTCATGATCAACCGACCTTTTTTCATATTATCTACTCTATAGGTTTATGATCGATCTTTTTCATAAGTTTTGGACCAGCCTTCTTCATAAGGTTGGGAATCCTTGCAAACCTAAGGTGAACCTTTATTAGAGGGAAAATGTTGGTTTGAATAGTCTCTTCATCCTTTGGACTCGACTCTAGGGATTGTCTACCCTCATAGGTTCAAAGTTGACCTTCTTCATAGGTCGACCAAGCTCATAATAGGAAAAAAAAAAACTGATTTACCTAGTTTATGGCCTTGAAATATTTTACTGTAGGTCTTCAATCGAACAATTAGTTTTTGATGCACAAGCTGACTGACTTGGATCATCATCCACAGGTTGACTAAGCTCATGATAGGTAAAAAACTAAAAACTAATTTATTGTTGTGGTAACTACCATAGGATAAAAAATAAAGAGGTAACCACCCACTATTTAAAAGAGAGGGATACTACAGGCTTGATATATGCGGGATTGTCAGGTGAGGAAGATAACAAAAATACAATCAAGAAATACAAATGGTTAGGTTAAGAACAAGGGGAGGCTTCTTGAGGAAAAAAGGAATGAGATAACAAAAAACACTAGAGGGAAACAGAAAGTGAGTATTTTTGAGTGCTCTAGTACCGAGACCTACTTCGTGGCTAGAACAGTTAATATAATATATACTTTGTTCTATGCATGGTATTTGTTCTGATATACAAAGAAAAGTTAGGATGCATAAGCTCGACAGTTGACACTAAGGTGAGAATGATGGAATTGACAAAAGGTAACTAAAGCTTATTTGTTTATAGAGATGTATGTAATGCCTAACCATAAAAAAATTGTTGAAATAGAAATTAACCTAGGTTGTGCTCTATTTCTAGGTTTGGAATAATGAAATCTGCAATGATAAATAATAAAGGAGTTTCAAGTAGAGTGCAAATAAAGGAATTTCAAAAGGAAATGAAGGTCAAATGTTGGTTCAAGCATCACTAACTTTAGAGAGAGATGATATAGGGAGGAAGAGACTGATGAGTGCATCATTTGTATTATGAAGAGTTAATGGTGAAGAAACAAAAGTGTTTGTTTAAAGTGTGGAATAAATTTAATATAATGTGTTATTGTGATTAGCATAAGTTAAAATTAATTGTTTATTAGCAAATTGTTGAAGAAAGGAGAAAATGAAGTCTTAGGCTCTTGAAATAAAGGAATAACAATAAGTTGAACTTGAATGTTCACTACTTAGCTACTTGTAACATGGATAAAAAATATTTTCCAACCAAAAAACATGAATATAAGAGGAAGAATTTGGTGGTGGTTTTGATTTATACCGGAGCTTCCCTTAATTTTTATTTGGGATGGTGGAATATTGAGGTTGAGTTTTGATCCAATCAACCATTGTCAATTGGGATATGAGAATATAAAATTGGTATAAATGTGTTATATATATAGAAGTAATAGTAGAGTTTAAAAGTATTTCAAATAATTGACTTTTATGCTTTTGATATGGGAGAAGTAAATTTGACTTTAGAGAGTAATTGGATTGGCTAGTCTTATAAAGGTTATAATTGATTAGGAATAACAAATCATGAAATTTAATTTTTAATTATGAGAAAAAAAAAAAGTTAAGTTGAAAGATATGTTTAATTACATAGGAAAATAAAATTCCTTATTCCATTTCCTAGGATATACAAAATGTAAATAAATTGATGTTATCTAATAGTATCCAAAAGATCAAAGGATGTAAAGATGATAGAGTAATAATAAGTGAACAAATAGAAACATTTTTAGTTTTTCTTGCAGATTTTTTAAAAGTGTTCTTAGAGCCTCATGACTTACCTTCTAAAAATTCTAAAGAGCATACATACTATTAATTTGAAATATGAGCTTTATCTCATGAATGTAATGCCTTATTGATATCCCATTATCAAAAAGAATAAAGTGAGAAACAAGTGAATGAGCTACAAAAGTCAAGTGTCAACAAGCCAAAACTAGTGTCTATTCTAGAATAAACATGAATTTAAGACTTTATTATATCATTGGCAAGGAAGAAAATTCATATTTGAAAGATGTGCGAGTTATAGGAAACTCAATATCACGATAATACTTAACAAGTACCTTATAGCAATGATTAAGGAGTTAATTAATGAACTAAATAAAACTTCTAATAATGGTGTATTATTATTTTTTAGTCAATTCATCAATATTAATTTAACTTAGTATCCCAAATTTGGAGTGAAAGTTTTAGTTTTTAATTTCTAAACCAGAATGATTAGTCTCACATCAAGTATAGGAAGAGATTAAACATGTCTTTAACTTTCAAGAAATTATCTCAAATTTACATAAGGATCTAACATCTACATTGGGTTTCTCTGTATAACATCACATTTATTTTACTTTATTTTATTTTATTATGATAGGTTGTTCATTTTCACCAAATTTAAGTGGATTCTAATTGTCGTTCAAAAGTTTCACCACATTCATACAAGGGATCAACAAGGCTATTATAGAACAAGTTAGGTGCAACAACCTATATATTCCTAAAGTTTATCACACGCTCTAAAATTCATCTTGTTTTCCATATTTCTTAAAAGACCTGTTAAGAATTATCTACAGTCTTGCTGATTTTTAAGTGGATGCAACTAAAGGTGTCATTCCTAAACATGCTTTAGCACTTAAACAAACATAAAAAATAGAACTATAGTTCCTTATTAGTTTTATAGTTTATCAAATGGCATGATAAGCCTATAACATAAGCTACTTGGTAGGAAACATTCATGGTTATTAACTCATGATTATTATTTAGTTTTCAAATATATGCCGAGAGGATATGACTGTTTCTCAAGTAGGAGGTAAAGTTAGGCCTTAAGATATATAGTTGGCTTTAGTTCAAATTAACCTTAGATCTTGAGTTTGAAAGACATATAGCAGGGGGAATAAAAAAATTGAAAAAAGAGGTAGATAGGGTAAAAATGGAAATTTGTAGAAGGAATTACAAATCTCACATGTTATATCCATTATTGGGGAAATGGGTAGTGATGTACGAAAAAGGTTTTATAAGTTTTTTTTTTTAATATCATAAAGGAATGTTGCTATGAAGTATTGCAGTTTATTTTATTATAATACACCATCATTTTAATATTATTCAAATTCTATTATTTTTTAATACTAGTTTCTAACAAATTGTCTCATTTCAAGGTTAATGCATGTCACAATTAGAGATGGAGCTAAGGGACAAAATGGGTATGCCCAAGGTTGTCAATCTCGAGAGTTTACGTAATCTCGTGGAGGCTCCGTAAACTCGTATCGTAAACTCGTCTCGTAAACTCGTAAGAGATTACTTAATAATAAATAAATAAATAATTAATTAAAAATAACATAATAATTGAATATTTTAACTCTATATTAAATAGTAAAATAGCAAATTACATTAATAATAAATGTTCTTAACACAAATTCTTAACAAAAGTTCCCACAAATGAAAAAACACAAGTTCTTAAAAATAGACAAATAAAAAAATATTAAAATTTAAAAACCCTAACCAGGTTCGCACAAAAGTGAGTCGCGCACGGAGAAGAAGAACAGCAGAGGCGGAGACGCGGAGGAGAAAGAGACGCGCGGAGGAGAGGCGTGCAGAGGAAGCAAGGCGCACAGAGGAGGCGAGGCACGCACGGAGGAGACGAGGAAACGCGGAGGAGGAGCCGCGGAGGAGAGGAGGCGCACGGAGGAGGAGCCGCGGAGGAAGAGATGACTAGGAGAGGAAACGAAGAGGAGAGGAGACGAGGCTAAATAAGTGCCCTAACACACAAAACACAAAACATGCGTTTTGTGTAAGTGAAAAAAAAAAAGGTGATCTCTTAATATCGGAAGTGATCTCGCAAGATTACCGAGATTACTCCGAGATTACCGAGATTACTCCGAGATTACTCAAAAACGAGTTTACCTCCGAGTTGTACAGGTAAGCTGTCCTAAACTCGTAAACTCGTAAGAGTTTACGAGTTATCACTAGAGATTGACAACCATGGGTATGCCATTGTCTCCATGTTTGTGATATTTTGCATGCATGTTACCTATTTTAATGTTTGGTGGATTGATCTAAAAATGAATTAATTTTTTTTATATAGTTCATTTAAGAAAAAAACTCTTAAGTCAGTCATTTAAAGTACATATATATCTACGTTAGTTTTTAAAAATCTTGATCACCAAATTAGTCACTCAAAAGATTTAAATCATTGTCATATTAATCCTTCAAATATTTTGTCACTAAATCAATCCTTCAAATATTTTATTTGTCATTAAATTAATAACAAATTTTTTTGAAAAGATTAATATGTTGATCTATGTGACCCGTTTAGGATTTTTCTCTTCTTTCATTCTATAATCACTTTGATTTAACCCTTCACTAAGTTTTTAACCTCCTTTTAGCCATAAATGAAAAAGAGAACTTACAACTACTTACAAATATACCAAATACCAACTCTTATTATTCAAGTTGTAAGGATTAAGTTTTATTTTTCTTAAGTAAGATATCTTATTTAAGTCTTACAAATAGAATAAAATTGATGTTGCGAGATTTTTTTTTTCATCAAATAAGTCTATCATACTCAATTTAAATAGTAATAGTCCTTGTAGTTTTTAAATACTAGAGTATAAGACATAAAAAACAATTAGAAAATTTAAATTTAAGACCTTTTCTTTTTACCAGTTAAGTAAATTATATTAGCATTTTTAGTTATTTAAACCTAAAATTTCACTCATAACTTTGAATTACAAAGGGGAAAAGTTTCATAAAATATTTTTTCATTCTAAATTTCAAATTTCAAGTTGTTATTGTTGAACCCCATTCATTTGTAACCTTAAAAGATTTTTGTTTTTGAAAGAAAGTCTTCATTAGAAATATTTAATAAATTGTAACACTCTAAAGAATCTTTCCTTAAATTTTAGAGTTTAAATATCAGAATGTGGATAATAAAAGCATATACATTATCCCAAGATTCTGGTGAAATAAAGTCATACATTATTCCAAAGTAACACTAATGTATATATCATCAAGGCATATGCCATGCATACGAACCTTATGCAAGAGATATAATCAAAAGCATCATTAGTTTTTCGAAACTAGCCTATGAAGGTATAAATATACAAAATGTAAACATCTTCTAGGTTGCTTCATCTTTTTTGCTAACCTATTTAATCTAGAACGTGGAAATTAAACTAACGAGACTGTGTCCGTATGAGTGCTACAAATATACAACAATATAGGTATAGCCCATGGGTGCTACACTATACGGACATTACTTAAAATATTTTTATAATCATAAATAAAGACTTTATCTTCAACTTTCCTTGTTTTCTGTTTTATGACAAAGCATTGAGCTCAGGTCTAAGAGACCTTTACCACATCTATAATAATAGAAAGTGAGAGAATTATGTTGACCACTATAGAGCGCATGACCTCCTAGCTATTTGTATCTCCGTCTTTTGGTATGAAGGATCTTTGTTGTGTCTTTAGGATGGAAATTGATGAAACACAATCAACCATTTAAAAAGAGCATCTCGAGTCTCATAACATGCATATTTACTCATTACATAAAACTTTTTACCTTCCTTTGTCATCCAAAGGGATTTCTATCTTCCTTTCTATGAAGAAGACTCATTGACATTCATTGTTTAACATATAGAAATCTTTGGCAATCATTCGTTACATATAAACATTATAAAATTGAGATGAAAATACGATGGAATTAATGTGTTTTTCTTGGAGTCTCACGCTCAACATGGAGGTATCCACACTTAGCACCTGACCTTGATGCTTGGATCTAGCCCAATGACACACTAAGCATCAGTGTGCCATATTACAGGATTACTCCTTAGAGGTCTCACACTTAGTGTAAGGTCCTATGCTTAACGTTCAACAAGTAATGGTTAGAGTGAAAAGCAAGACTTGGAGATGTCCTGTCTAGAGGTCCAATTTGACACGTCCACACTTAGCATGGTCCATGAACTGTGATTTTGACAAATCACGGAAACTTGTGATTTCGCAACTCCTTGGTGTTGAATGACTCCAGCCACCAACCAAACACTATCATTAATACAACAGTAATAGTCCTTAATGCTTAAACATCAAATCATTTTCAAATAATTCATTAATTATGTGTTTTCACGAAGAAAAAGAAATTCCCAAAGTTGGGTGAAAATTCATTTACCCCAATATCCAACAACAATCCAAGAACAATGGAGGAAAAAGGAAGAAAAAAAAATAATGAAACACCACATGGGCCTCCTAATGTGGTTGAGTGTATGAGTTTTTAAGTTTCCTTCTCTACTTCCCCTTTTTCTCTAAGTGTGTGTTATGAGAGTAGTGAACGGGTGAGAAAGGGTTTTAGTGTATGTGGAGTGTGGGACTCTATTGAGTTTGGTGAGATTTCTCTGTTATAATCTAACTCTAACTCACTATCCTCTCATAACCTAGAGCAAAACACGTTGTGTTAAATAATTATAAAACAAGTATTAAAATTGAATTCAATTTATTATGTCTTATAATATTTTAGTAACCTATATCTTGAAATTTTACACTAACAACCATTTTAAATATTAAAGTTTAATATTTTTTTTTTATATAAAAAGTTCACCATAATGTGAGAGAATACATATTCTTATATGTTCTTATTATGGTAATCATAAGTAATATAATGTTAAAATATTCATGGTCCTTAATAAACATATGTTGCATGTGTGATTTAGTGTTACCTCTTCATGATTTCACCAATGTATAAGAATGTGTGTGATTCGGTGTTAACTCTTCACGACTTCACAAATGTATAAGAATGTACATTTTTTACTAGTAAGAATTATAATGAGAGTAACAAATTTTGAATTTTAAACTTTGCACATACTGTCTTAATTTTCCTGACTATATACCAATCTTAATTAGTGGTTTAACACATTAGATGTGTATCGATTATAGACTAAGAAGTAGAAATAAATACTTTTAAAAATAAAGCTTTGTATAAAATAAGTTTGAAAAGTTGAACTTCGACTAACAAAATTACACTTATGTGAAACAGGCTGATCATCTACGACAAGAAACCTTGCGACAAATGTCTCGAATACTTACCGTACGTCAGAGTGGTCGATTTCTGCTTGCTTTGATGGAATATTTTCAACGCTTACGGGCTTTGAGCAAACTTTGGGTTAATCGTCCTCGAGAACTTGCTTAGTCTCAAACAATATATCAAACAACAATTACCCAAAAAATCATCAAGTGTATCATATTATCAAAACCATGCATGAACCATGTCTAGGATTCTGACTGCTCGCATTTTTTCCAAGTGAGAAGTCAGTTTTTTGCTTATCAGGACCCGCCAAAGGTGAGAAAAAAATAACACCTAGATCACTAGATTACGCTAGAGGAGGGCAAAACTCTGGAGGTTCTTGTAAAACAAAAAAGTTGGACATAAACTTAATTGAAAAATCTGTCAAACTATTAGCTTCTCGCACAACATAGCACAAGTTGACCTCCCAATTCCTCCCCTGATAGAAGAGCCTGTATAGGGGATGGTGCACTGGAAGTCCATTGTTGAAAGCAACAGACACCTCCCCCAGCAGTGAGAAGTTGTAAATATGTTTTTTCCATTTGTGACATGTCTATATTCAAGTGTGTGGGTCGTGTAAAATACTAAAATGTGTCTAATGTAGTAGTAAAGCTGAATAATCCTTTTTATTTTCTTTGATAGATGTAGTATAATTTAAGAAAAGGAAACACATATAAAAGTTAAATGATCTTTTATTTCTTATCAAAAGAAAAATGTGTCTGTTGTCGATTTAATATGTTTATTGTTAGTCGTTTGTTGTTTCTCCTATTTAAGTATTTTTTTTTTGTTAAAAATATTCTTTTCATCTTTTTTGATCAAATTAATACTAGAAACATTTAAAAAAAAAAAGTTCTTAAATAAGAATGATACCTCCAAAAGCATTTTTTTTAATTTTAAATAGTTGTTAGACTTGACCATACTAACATGGACATTAAAAAAAAAAATACTAAATTTTGAATTGTTTATTATTATTCTCTTCAAAAACAAAATATAATTGGAAGTAGAGATGATATAATGGGTAATGAATTAATTTGATGACAAGCACTTGTAAAAATATTTTATAATAAATAAGATCATTAGCTGTTTAATAAGTGGGTTTACAAATGAGTAATTAATTATTTAAAAAAGATGATAGGAATTAGTATTGATACATGTACTTTAATACTTACTTTTTCTAGTATATTTACTTATACACATATAAATATATATTTATATTATGTTTAGATACAATTTAGAATGAATTTTAAAAGTTTCTTTATTGAAGATAAAAAATATTTTTCAATAGAATTTTTTTTAAAAGCCTTATAAACATGTAGTCAAACTTATGCATAATATGTTAATATACACACACGTACAATGAATGTATCAAAAATAAAATTTCTTTTACACTTTCAATTTAGTAAGTACGTACATCCCCTTTCATCTTTTTTATATTTTCAAATATCAATTTTATCTTTATAAATTCAATTAGACTTAAATTTTTTTTTTATTCTTTCAAATTTAAGTTAAATTTGTTTATAATCTCTCAAATTTAAAATTAATTTTTTTAATTATTGTAATTTCAAAAAATCTTATTTTAGTTCTTATATTCAAATTTTGTTAAGAAATCTATCAAATAATATCCCATAAAATATATCTATTAGTATCTCTATTAATAAAAACATCACATTAAACTCAATTAATGTTGTATAACTGTCTTAATCTATCACTTTCAAATATGTTATTGATTACTTGAAGGATTAAAACAAGATTTTTAAAAATTATAAGGACTAAAAATAATAATTTTAAATTTGAGAGACTAAAAATAAATTTATCCTAAATTTGAGAGACTAAAAATATATTTAAGTCAGTCTATTATTTACTTCATATTTATTATATTTTAAATTTAATTTATTTCATGTTCTATATTTTTATTCTTAAAATCATAATTCTGAATCTTTATCTTTGCTTTGATATTCATTATTTTTTTAAAAATTTTGGTTATGTAATACTATAATTTTTATTATGAAAGTGATTAATGTGTTTCATAATAGGATATCATAATCTAATTATTGAATTAGATTCAAATTGAAAGTAGATTAGATTTATAATATATAATGAAGAAGAAGTTTCTGACATAATTCTTAACTAAATTAAAAGAGATTATGATTTTTTTACTATTCTTTAATATAATAGAAGTAAAGCAACTCAATAGTTTACTCTTTAGCTAAAAATTATATTATTTAATCATAAAAATATTCATAAGAATATTCCCCATCATTATATTTAAAATATTATTTTTATGAAAATGATCTTTACCCTCTTAGTGTAAAACTGTTTTACTCTTAAGTGGGTTCATTACTAGAAAAGTGTCATTTTCTTGCGAATTTTCCTGTAAAAAAATATTTGCAGAAATTTTTTGCAAATTTATTTGTGAAAAATAATTTACAGATATTTCTTACAAATTTTGCAACAATTTTAATAATCATAGAAATTTTTTTTCATGGTAAAATTTTGCAGAAAATATTGTAAGAACTTTATTTTGTTTCTTGCAAAAATAAATTCGCAAGTAATGTTTACTAAATGGTAGAAAAATTTTGCAGGTAACTTTTCCTGCGGATTTTCCTGTAAATTTTATATCTACAGGAAAAATAAAAAATATTTAAATTTATAAGTTCAATATTTTAAAAAAACTTCAAGTCCCACATCGATTGAAAATAAAGCAAGTAAAAAGTATATAAGTGGGGGCAACACTTACCTTACAAGTTGATTTGTATGGTTGAGTGTTAATCTTATAATCTACAATCTTAGAATTTAAAAGATTATGTATCACATGTTGGAGGCATGGAAACAAATACTTCGAATGAATTCATTGTGAGCATTGAAAGTTGAAAAATTATTGATAGAATTTATAGTAATTTCTTTAATTTTTTCGTAAAAAATATTCCTGTAAAATTTCTTGCAAAAAAATTCGCAGGAAACTTTCTTGCGATTTTTTTTTTTGCAGGAAACTTTCCTGCAAATTTTTTTTTACAAGAAACTTTCCTGCAAATTTTTTTCATAGGAAACTTTCCTGCGAATTTTTTTCGTAGGAAAATTTCCTACGAATTTTAAAATTCTCAAAAATATATTATCCACGAAGGTATTACTTACAAATAAAATTTCGTAGAAAAATTTGCAGGAAGAACATTTCCTGCGAATTTTTATGAAAAATTTTTTTAAAAAAAAAAGTATATAATAACAGAAGTTTTAGCAATAGTCTTGTATATGTCACTCTTAAGAAATTTTTGTATTTTGACCACTAAGGGTATTAGTTGCTTGAATGACTTCATATTTGTTGATATTAAGTCTTTTCATAGTGCGTTCTCTCACTTACGGCTTTAAACCTGTAAAAAAATAAATAAATAAGCAACTCCAACTTATCTCTAACACTACAATCAGTTAAGCACCGTTGCTTAACTCTAGGGAAATATGAACCTAATATGAGGTTGCATCCGTCTACTAGAATTTAATTTTACAATATTAATTATTTCCAATATACAACAATTAATATTTTTCTCTTACAGTTACATTCTAACAATTTGAAAGTAAACTCCAATCTTTTGCTTCAATTGTTGTAAATATAATATGACGATTAGTAATATAATTTATTTTTTTTAATAATTTTTAATAACTTTATTAATAAGAATTTTTTTAAATTTTTTTTGATTAACGTATATACCAATTTTATTATAAATTTGTTATATGATTATTAGTGATACGTGAATCTTGGCAATAACATTTATGTTTAATTTATTTTTTTATATTAATATACCTTCTGTTATATATTATTATATTATTTTTAAAATACAAAATTATAAATATTTTTTTATATAAAATTTAATACTTATATTTTATATATTTATTCAATGGATTCCATTTTTTTTTTAAATTGACACCGTATCATATCCTCTTGATTCTGTCTCAGCTTGCTCTTGTGCTCTTAATAGTTGTGTGTCCATATACGAGGAAATATGAGATATTGAAGAGAAAGAAAAGTAATGTGAACTAAGCAACTTTTAAACTTGCATTGGATTGAAAATGAATAAATGGATTGCTTAAAATTGATAATTTTTATGTAATTATGATATTGATAAAAAAATATCTATTACTAAAAGTACTAATATCTATCAAAGATAGTGAACACACATATCATGTTAGTATTCTCCTCTCAACTTAAACATATCTAAGGTCATGATTTACCTTGATTAAAAAACACAAGTCACAACCTTTTAAACCAACTAATATAAGTACTTAAACTTAAATTGATGATATGTATGAACTTAATCACTTAAAGAGATAAAATCATTTGCTTATTTGAATAGGATTGATGATTCTATAAATCAATTTAATTAATCAATTTCTCTATATAAAACATACAAACCACTATATTATATGAAAGTTTTTTTTAAGGACTTCTCTCCAACAAAAGATTTTTTTTAAAAAATGAACTTCATATTTAATTCAATTTTTATATGTTATAATTATTTATGAATTAAATTTTAATATTTTAAAATAAATTATTAATAAATAAAAATAATTTTACATTACAATATAAATTACTTATCATAAATTTAAAATATAATTTATATATTAAAAATAATATTTATTT